TTCATGAAACCATGCCCTTACAACATACGGTGCACTGTTATGTTTTATTTTCTTTTAATAAGTGTTGATCAATCCACACCAAGGTGATTGCACCACTCTGATGAATCTGACCCCCTACCGAGAATACTTTGTTTTTTCCAAGTTCTTGAGCAAGAGTGGCTATACATGGGTAGCCAACCACACAGTTCAGTTCAGTTGCTCAGTCATGTCTGACTCTTTGCGACCCCATGGACTGCAGCATGCCAGGCCTCCCTGTCCATCACCGACTCCCAGAGTTTACTCAAACTCATGTTCATTGAGTCGTTGACGCTATCCAACCATCTCATCCTCTGTCGTCCCCTCCTCCCGCCCTCAACCAGCATCAGGGTGTTTTCCAGTGAGTTGGTTCTTTGCATCAGGTGGCCAAAGTATTGGAGTTTCAGCTTCACCATCAGTCCTTGCAATGAATATTCAGGACTGATTTCCTTTAGGATGGACTGGTTTGATCTCCTTGCAGTCCAAGGGACTCTCAAGAGTCTTCTCCAACACCACAGTTCAAAAGCATCAATTCATCAGTGCTCTCAGCTTTCTTTACAGTCCAACTCTCACATGTATACATGACCACTGGAAAAACCATAGCTTTGACTAGACGGACCTTTGTTGGCAAAGTAATGTCTCTGCTTTTTAATAAGCTGTCAAGGTAGGTCATAGCTCTTCTTCCAAGGGGCAGACATCTTTTAATTTCATGGCTGCAATCACCATCTGCAGTGATTTTGGAGCCCCCCAAAATAAAGTCTGTCACTGTTTCCATTGTTTCCCCATCTATTTGCCATGAAGTGATGGGACCAGATGCCATGATTTTAGTTTTCTGAATGTTGAGCTTTAAGCCAACTTTTTCACTCTCCTCTTTCACTTTCATCAGGAGGCTCTTTAGTTTTTCTTTGCTTTCTGCCATAAGGGTGGTGTCATCTGCATATCTGAGGTTATTGATATTTCTCCCCGCAGTCTTGATTCCAGCTTGTGCTTCATTCAGCCCAGAATTTCACATGATGTACTCTGCATATAAGTTAAATAAGCAGGGTGACAATATATAGCCTTGACACACTCCTTTCCCAATTTGGAACCAGTCTGTTCCATGTCCAGTTCTAACTGTTGCTTCCTGACCTGCATACAGATTTCTCAGTAGGCAGGTAAGGTGGTCTGGTATTCTCCTCTCTTTAAGAATTTCCCACAGTATGTGGTGATCCACACAGTCAAAGGCTTTGGTATAGTCAACAAAGTAGAAGTAGATGTTTTTCTGAAACTCTCTTGCTTTTTCAATGATCCAGCAGGTGTTGGCAATTTGATCTCTGGTTCCTTTGCCTTTTCTAAATCCAGCTTGAACATCTGGAAGTTCACAGCTCATGTACTGTTGAAGCCTTGATTGGAGAATTTTGAGCATTACTTTACTAGTGTGTGAGATGAGTGCAATTGTGCAGTAGTTTGGGTTGGAATGAAAACTGACCTTTTCCAGTCCTGTGGCCACTGCTGAGTTTTCCAAATTTGCTGGCATATTGAGTGCAGCACTTTCACAGCATCATCATTTAGGACTGAAATAGCTCAACTGGAATTCCGTCACCTCCATTAGCTTTGTTCATAGTGATGCTTTATAAGGCCCACTTGACTTCTCATTCCAGGATGTCTGGCTCTAGGTGAGTGATCACACCATCGTCATTGTCTGGGTCATGAAGATCTTTTTTGTATAGCTCTTCTGTGTATTCTTGCCACCTCTTCTTAATATCTTCTGCTTTTGTTAGGTCCATACAATTTCTGTCCTTTATTGTGCCCATGTTTGCATGAAATGTTCCCTTGGTATCTCTAGTTTTCTTGAAGAGATCTCTAGTCTTTCCCATTCTATTGTTTTCCTCTATTTCTTTGCACTGATCACTGAGGAAGGCTTTCTTATGTCTCCTTGCTATTCTTTGGAACTCTGCATTCAAATGGATATATCTTTCCTTTTCTCCTTTGCTTTTCACTTCTCTTCTTCTCACAGCTATTTGTAAGGCCTCCTCAGACAGCCATTTTGCCTTTTTGCATTTCTTTTTCTTGGGGTACAATGTCACAGACTTCTGTCCATAGTTCTTCAGGCACTCTGTCTGATCTAATCCCCTGAATCTATTTCTCACTACCACTGTATAATTGTAATGGATTTGATTTAGGTCATACCTGAATGGTCTAGGGGTTTTCCATACTTTCTTCAATTTCAGTCTGAGGTTGGCAATAAGGAGTTCATGATCTGAGCCACAGTCAGCTCTTGTTTTTGCTGACTGTATAGAGCTTCTCCATCTTTGGCTGCAAATAATATAATCAATCTGATTTTGGTATTGACTATCTGGTGATGTCCATGTGTAGAATCTTCTCTTGTGTTGTTGGAAGAGGGTGTTTGCTATCCCCAGTGCGGTTGTCTTGGCAAAACCCTATTAGCCTTTGCCCTGCTTCATTCTGTACTCCAAGGCCAAATTTGCCTGTTACTCCAAACAAGCCTGTTACTTGGCTTCCTACTTTTGCATTCCAGTCCCCTATAATGAAAAGGACATTTTTTGGGGTGTTAGTTCTAGAAGGTCTTGTAGGTCTGACAAAACTTGGTCCACTGGAAAAGGGAATGCAAACCACTTCAGTATTCTTGCCTTGAAAACCCCATGAACAGTATGAAAAGACAAAAAGATAGGACACTGAAAGATGAACTCCCCAGGTTGGTAGGTGCCCAATATGCTACTGGAGATCAGTGGAGAAATAACTCCAGAAAGAATGAAGAGATGGAGCCAAAGCAAAAACAATAACCAGTTGTGGATGTGACTGGTGATGGAAGTAAAGTCTGATGCATAAAGAACAATATTGCATAGGAAACTGGAATGTTACGTCCATGAATCAAGGCAAATTGGAAGTGGTCAAACAGGAGATGGCAAGATTGAACATCAACATTTTAGGAATCAGCGAACTAACATGTACTGGAATGGGTGAGTTTAACTCAGATGACCATTATATCTACTAGTGTGGACAAGAATCCCTTAGAAGAAATGGAGTAGCCATCATAGTCAACAGGAGTCCAAAATGCAGTACTTGGATGCAGTCTCAAAAATGATAGAATTATCTCTGTTCATTTCCAAGCAAAGCATTTAATATTACAGTAATCCAATTCTATGCCTCAACCAGTAATGCTGAAGAAGCTGAAGTTGAACAGTTCTTTGAAGACCTACAAGACCTTCTAGAACCACACAGTTGTCTCCAAAATTGGATAAACGTTGATGTCAGTGTGACCTCCCAGCATTCAGATCCAAGATAGTACAGATGGAGATGGAGCCTTCGTTTGTGAGTCATTCGGGAGTTTGTGAGTCCATCTAACAGCCCGTCATGGTTTCTGCTCATCTGTAACCCATGTAATTGGAGTTAAAATTTATTTCCCAACTTTTGTTTTGGCTTCAAAACAAATATATTTGTGGTCTTTTTCTAGTTTCAATTTGCTAGTTTCAATGGGATATAGAAAGTGATAGACTCTAGATGGAAGCGTCTCCAGTTTTCACTTCAACATAGTCTCATGGAAAACAGAAAGCAGACAATATTGTATGGAATGGTAATGAGGTAGACAGGACTGAAAAAAACCTTCAGTGATGGGGACAGAAAATAGTTAATACTTAAGAGCAAAGTTAATGTTCCTATGTTGGTTTTTCTTTGGATTTTCATAGCCTGAGTTTTACTGGCTGGATTTCTGGGCATTAAGGGAAAAACATAGACTTTGGAATAAGACACCATGTCCTTGGGTTCAAATATGGGTTCTGTCACTTACTGATAAGTCTTAGACAAGTTATTTATTCTCTCTTGGTTTTTAATTCTTCACTGGTAATGATTTTATAGGTTGTCTCTACCTATTCATTTCTCTAAGTTAAATGAATACTTGGCACAGTGCTTGGCATTTATGGAACGCTCAAGAACTGGTAGACTTACTATCATCATATCATTATCATACAGAACTATTCATGTTATGTGTCTTGTGTCTCCCTCGGTATATAGCATGTCTTACATGTAGTAGGTACTCAACAAATGTTGGATGAATCTCTGCTTTGTATGCATAGGCAGGTTGGGCTTTCTCTCCTATCCTGAAGGCACTCCTGGTGGGAAAATCTCCACTTCCCATTCTAGTTTCAAAATTCTTCTGTTCTGTAGTAACATCTTGAGCATTCTTGTTTGGTTTCGTCTCAGTCTTAAGACTTGTTCATCTTCAAAAACGTTTGAAAGTGAACGCTCAGTTGTGCCCGACTCTTTCTGACCCCATGGACTCTACAATCCATGGAATTCTCCAGGCCACAATACTGGAGTGTGTACCCTTTCCCTTCTGCAGGGGATCTCCCCAACCCAGGTCTCCCGCATTGCAGGCAGATTCTGAGCCTCAAAACATTTAGTAGTGGGTATAATATGCTGCAAGGACGTCCCCCTCCCTCCCAGCAGAAAAGTAAGGCAAAGGAAGTCTGCAAAAACAACCAGGGGTGTTAAATTACTCATGTTTATTTATAACAGACCTTCAGCCAGTACAGTACAAAACTTACAGTAGTATATCTCCGTTACACAAATATTTACTTACAATATATTACATATACAAAATGCTTTGCAATAAGTCTCAAAAGCTAGTTTAACTCCTCTTGAGAAAGGAGAAAAACTCTTTTAAAAAAAAAAAAGGAGGGAGGGGGCCCCAGAGGAAGAGGAGGAGGTGAAGGGGTAAGATCCAAGGAGACAGCCAGCAGGGGCTACAAATGAAACCCTGGCAGAGGGAGGAGAGAGGTGGTATTGCACTTACTTCTGTGTTTTATTTTTTCTTTTTGTTCTCATAACTTCTGATCAAAAATATATATTATATATATATATTATGTACACAAGGAAAGAAGCTGCCAGAAGTATTACAAAATCGCATCCGCAGCTTGGACACTGACACGAAAAAACAAAGGTCTGGAAAAGTGTCTATTTAGAAATTTTTTTGTGTGGTGTTGATTTTAAATATCAATATAAAAGGAAAACACCTCTTTCCTCCATGTGGGTTTCAATGTGTGTTTTTTCTTTTTCTTACTTTTTTTTTCTTTTTTTATGCAAAAGGAGCTAGGAGAGAGCATGAGGATGTTTGAGGTTCCAGAGCTGGCAGGCTCTGGAAAGCAGGATTTTGTACCTAAGACCCTGGTTAAAGTGCAGTGATGGTCTGGAGAGACAGAGCGCCCTTCTCTCCCCTCCGTAGCACCCGGGCTCGCCCTTCCAGTCTCTGCTCTCACGGGCTCAGAGCATGGCCTCGGAGCACAGTCCTTCATGTTCCAGGAGGTTACAGGTGCCAAAACTGATGGGGAGGGGACGGGGCACCCCGAGGCTCCGATACCCCAGAAGGGACTAGTCTTGTGAGGTGTCACCAAATACACAGCAGACGCAGAAGAGGCGCTGAGGGCAGGGCTCATGGGAAGGGGCTCGATAAGCAGGAGGGCTGAGGGGAACCCCAGAGAAGAATCTCAGGTCTGCTGACATTCTGAAAGGGAGCCAGCTCCCTGGGGGTGCTCTCAAGAAGACCCCCCTTCTCCAGAGACAGGCTCCTCCCAGGTGGCTCCCCGAGCCCCTGCCCCTGGCAGCATCTGTTTATTGCTACGTTGTCAAGGAGACACAGTCAACCCACGGTGTCCCTCCCTGACAATCTGGTTCTCCTGGGGAGACCACAGACTGGGGGAGCAGAGGAGAAGGAAGTGTTCAGGGTCTCCCTTCCCGTAACAGGATAAGGCAGAGCCTGAGATCCTGAGAGCCCTTACGAGCCCCAATCCCAGGGTCTGTTCCTTAACCAACCCCTTACCAGCCCCCTGAATTATCCCTGATAGGGAGTGAGAAAGCAGGAGGCAAAAGAGCCCATAAGGAGAGGACTTATGGAAAGAAAAATGGAAGGAAGAGAAAAGGGGGGGAGCAAGAGAGAGAGAAGGACCAAGTGTTACAACTTGTGAGGTGTTCTGTTTGGTTTTTACTTTTTAATTTTTAAATATAGAAAAACAGGCTTTGGTTTGAATCTCAGGGAAGCAGAGAATGGGATGGCTGTGGCCTTGGGCAGGGAGCTCTTGTGGAAAGAGACCCCCACTCGGCGGTGGAGCGATCCCCTCCTGCCCCCGTCACTGTCTAGGTCACCCAAACAGCCAGGAGTCTCTGCAGCAGCCAGGAGCGTGCCCCCTCCTGCCCTACATCCGGGAGCTGAGTGTAGGAGGGGTAGTGAAGGATGGCTCTCCCATTCAGCTGTGTCCATCCCATTCTCGCTGGCACAAGACTGGGATGGGGAGAGGGGCGTCTGCCCTTGCTCATCCTGGGGAGAATTTTTGGTTATACTGAGAGTTAAGAGAGAGAAAAGAGACATCCTTTTCTCCCTGCCACTGATCCTAAGAACAGGGCCCAGGAGTCTGGGGATGAGAGGGTGAATCCTGCTAGGGGAGAGAAGGCAGCATGACTGGGGGGCTGAGGATGCCCCCTTGTTATCAGGCAGCAACCCACCAGTTTCTCATAGGACAGGGACCAGAGGTGCCCCTGAGAGCCCAAGTAGGTCGCTAGAGTGAGGAAGTTTGAGAGGTGGGAGAGAAAGAGAGGAATTTTGACCCATTCCCTTCCCTGGTTCCCAGTTAGGCACCTGTGGCTCCACACGTGTCAGAGACAGAGGATTGCTGACCTAGCCTTGGCCCCTGAGAGTATAAAGCTGGGGCATTCCAAGGAGAGAAAAACCACCACTGAGTGGACGGGCAGTGTGAAGAGAGTAAAGCAGTGCTGGGGGCTGTTTGAGAAGACGGGGAGATCACACTGGAGAGGCAGATCCCGGATGTGGGCTTTGGGGAACTCCAATTCCTAGTGGGATGTCAAGAGGACCCTCAGTCCCAGGGTGCCTGGGGAGGATTCCTTCAGCCTCTCCTACTTCCCAAGGAGGGGTTTCTTCATTTGATCAGGAGCTGTGCAAGCTGCCTAAGCTCAGAGGCCACGAGAGGCCATGAGTACCAGGCTGCAGGGTCCCGGAGGGCAGAGGTAATGCCACAGAGCTAAGGTGGGTATAGAGCGCGGTTGGCATCGAAACGGAAGCATCGGGTATGGTAAAAGGTGAGGACCTAAATCAGGAAGCCCGAGGCCTCTCAGCACTAAGGGGAGCTTCCCACTCCTGGGGCTGCTGGAGAAAGCGCAAAGAGAAAAATCAGGCCTGACGTGGAGGGGGCTGTGGGGAGGAGGGTGGCGGTGTGGCGAGTGATAGAAGTTAAAAAAAAAGAAGCAAAAGAAAACTCAACAAATTATATTAATAAATAACTCAGTGAGTATGGTGGGATGAAAGGAGAAGAGAAAAAGGAGAAAGATAAGCAAAAGACCTGTTTCATCACAACGCTTAGATCAGTCGGGGGGAGGAGGAGCACAGGTGAGGACGGGTCAGGGTCAGGGGTGAAGCCAGGGAGCCGGTGGTGGGGGCTACACAGCCCAGCTCCTAGGGCCGTGGTGGGGACAGGCCAGCCTCCTGCAGGCAGGGCGTGGGGGGTGCGCTGAGGCGGGGGAGGAGGCCGCTAGCCCACTTTGTGCTCCCCCCGGACAATGTGGGAAGAGAATTCGTACCGGTCCTGGCTGTGGTAGCCACAGATGTTGCACTCGAAAGGGTCTCGGAAGCCGTGGCAGCCCATGTGAATCGTGAACATGACGTGGTCCAGGAAGAGGATGCGGCAGTGCTCGCACTTGAAGGCCTTCACTGGCTCGCCGCTCTCACCCACCACCCGGAGCACTTCCTTGGAGGGGCCTGGGGTGCCCCGCAGCAACCCCTCCTGCGGCTTGGGGTCCTCTTTGGCGTAGGCAGGGCTGGGCCGGCCCACCACCATGGTGGGAGGAGGCTGGGGCGGGGGGCCCTGAGGCAGTGACACCACCCCCCCGACCCGGTCCTCGTGGTTGCTCTCTGTGTCTGTGGAGTCCTGGCAGCCATTGCTGGGGGAGGCCCCGGGGTCAGTCAGGGGGCCTCGAGCCCGGTAGAGGAGGGGGCCTCCGTCAGCGAGGTCCTCGGGCCCCTCACCTGCTTCCCGGGACCCCGGAAGCTCCAGCCGCCCAGGGAGGGGCTGCATCTGAGTGTAGACAGAGCTGATGACAGGTGTAAGTTCTGAGATGCAATTGGTGGGTGGCAGGCGGAGGGGACGCAGATGTTCGGCCCCCACGAAGGCCAGAGGCCCCCCAAAGCCAGGCTCCAGGCCATGGTGCGCTGCCAGCTCCACGTCCTTCTCATAGCCGCCCGCGTTCACATCGTAGGGCAGGTCCGAGAGGCTGAAGCGCATCTGCTTCTCACCTGTGGAGAGAAGGGTCTCAGGAGGGCTGACTTGGGATAAGTCCAAGCTCCCCTAGGATTCCTTCTTTGTTTTCTTTCCCTGGGGATGGGTGTGACATTACCCACCACCCCTCATTTACCTTCCACAAGGTCAGGTCCTCTGTGGGGCTGCTCCCCAACCCTGGGCTATAATCTTAGAGAAGGACTTGGTCCCGGCCCACTGGTCTTGAAAACTTACTTCCTGCATTGCTCTCCATAAAGAGAGCTAATGGCCAGGGACCTCCATACACACCTTTTCTCTCTGACTCCAAGGGCCCTTCTCTCAGTCCCCATAATCAGACTCCAAGGGCCCTTCTCTCAGCCCCCATAGACAGAAGTCTGTACTATTTTCAGAAACTGGAAAAGCCTGACACCCAGCCCTCTCCTCTCACAACCACCCTGAGAGCCCCCAACTCTGACTCCTCTTCCCCCTGGTGAGGGATGTTCTTCCTCTTCACCCCCCCGCCCCCCGCCCATTCTGGGGATGCGTTCTAAACACTAAGAGACTACCAGGCTGCGCTCTCCCACCCCAAGCAAATCTCCAGACCCAGGTGGTCTGACAGCCACAAGTGCTCAGATTTAGACAAGTGGGGGCTTCCAGCTGGCGTCTCCTCTCCAACTGGACTCTTACCCACAAACTTCTGGGGGGTGGAACGCTTGCGTTTGGTGAGGCTGTTGGCCAAACGGTCAATGAAAGTTGGCCTCTCAGAGGATGAGTGCAGCATGGACTCTGGCACCATCTCCAGGTCCCGAATCTCGTCGCCTGGTGGGAGGGGGCAGGGGTGGGGTGGGGTGGGCGCGACAGGCAGGAGCAGCTGAGCGGGGGAAGCAGCGGCCCAGCTGCCTTTGCCTGGAGAAAAGCAGCAGGTCGGTAGCCGAGGAAGGTCGGTAGCTGAGGAAGGTCAGAGCGGATGCCTGGGAAATGGCACTCTGCTTACTGCACCCCGTCTAGAGCTCACTACGGCACATTTCCGGTGATGTGCGAACAGTTACATGCTTCTGACCCTTGACTGCATATCTCCTTGTGTGCCCTCTCTCTCTCTCTGACAACACAGATGAAGTCCTCCCTACCTCTGGATCTGCCTGCAGCACCCACCACGGGGCCCGGCACATTCATCTGTTCCAGAGGTCCACCGCTTTTTGAGGGAGGCGCTGGGGCGGCCCCGTCCTGCTCCTGACGGCCCCGCCTGCGGCCTCACCTGCCTGGCAGGGGCTGGCGTGGCCCCGTCCTGCCCCCTGACGGCCCCGCCTGCGGCCTCACCTGCCTGGCAGGGCCTGGCGTGGCCCCGCCCTGCCCCCTGACGGCCCCGCCTGCGGCCTCACCTGCCTGGCAGGGCCTGGCGTGGCCCCGCCCTGCCCCCTGACGGCCTCGCCTGCGGCCTCACCTGCCTGGCAGGGGCGGCCCCGCCTGCGGCCTCACCTGCCTGGCAGGGGCGGCCCCGCCTGCGGCCTCACCTGCCTGGCAGGGGCTGGCGTGGCCCCGCCCTGCCCCCTGACGGCCTCGCCTGCGGCCTCACCTGCCTGGCAGGGGCGGCCCCGCCTGCGGCCTCACCTGCCTGGCAGGGGCGTCCCCGCCTGCGGCCTCACCTGCCTGGCAGGGGCTGGCGTGGCCCCGCCCTGCCCCCTGACGGCCCCGCCTGCGGCCTCACCTGCCTGGCAGGGGCTGGCGTGGCCCCGCCCTGCCCCCTGACGGCCCCGCCTGCGGCCTCACCTGCCTGGCAGGGGCTGGCGTGGCCCCGCCCTGCCCCCTGACGGCCCCGCCTGCGGCCTCACCTGACTGGCCAGCCAGAGCTTGGGCTTCAGTGCTGAGACTCTGCAGGTAGTTGTGGCACCGCTCCTTGTGCTCCTCCAGGGTGCTCTGCTGTTTGTAGCTCCGGCCGCAGTAGTTGCACTTGTAGGGCTTGCCCACCGTGGGGGAGGAGACTGCAGAGGAGAGGGGAGAGGGCGTCAGAGGGCCACGCAGGGAGCAGGCACGCCCGGGAGGGAGGAGGAAGGGACGTGGCTCAGCTGAGTTCTCTGGCTCATCTTTCCCCAGCTTCAGTGGCCAGCGAGGACAGACGGTGGAACCCTGAAGAAGAGAGACGACGCACCGGGATGGGAGGAGAGAGGGCACGTGGCTTCGACTGTTGGTGGGCCTCAAGATGGCCACGTTGCTGTTCAAAGGAAGGAAGGACCCGGGGACTTCGCAGGGGATCATCCCTGGCAGGCAGGCTGGCCCCACCCCAGGATCTCAGAGTCTGGGGCCCAGACTGTGGTTTAACCTTTCCATGTGGCAGGCGGGTGTAAGGGCTGTTTATCAGACAAGGGGATTTTTTTGCTTACGAACTATCTGCTTCAGTTTGGGGGAAACTGGTGGGCTGGGGTGGCAGAAATGAGAGCCCTCAGCTCTGCCAGGGTGGGGAGGGGCATGTTCACTGACCTTTACTTGTACTTTTACCTCCATCCCCGGCCTGGTTTTAATTGCTCAGTTTTCTTTTTCGCTACACTGAGATATACCAAGAGAGCCCCAGAAAAACCATCACTGATAGAGAAATTCTGAGAAGAGAAAAATAAATAAAATAACCAGAGGAAGGCAAAGGGAGCGAACACCAATTCTGGGGGTCTTCGTTTTTTTTTTTTAAAACAAAGAAGAGGTTATAAAGATTTTGTTTCCAGAGATGAAAAAAAGGTTAGGAAAACTGAGATCAACACTTCCTCTGAAAACAACTTGAGAGAGGATATTTGTGAAAGTATGTGGCCAGTACTGAGCAGGGAGATGGGAGAAGGCAGCTTCAGGAGGCGGGTAATCACCACCGGCCCCTGCCCCTACTCACACACGCCTAACTTGGGCCTGGACTAAGTCACCTACTGCCTTTCTGCTCTTGCTCTGTAAACCCGAGCGGTTGCGGGGTAAGATGAATGCCGTGGTCCTCGTCCACCCAGGACTCTTGGGGAGATGGTCTAACCTCTGGGAGGGGAACTCCCTTTTCTCTCCTAGAGTGTGGGCTGTGATAGAAAACATCTCACAGAGATGAGACCCAACAGTGTATCTGTGTCCACCTGTGTCC